TTAGTAAACTGACTTTTGGGCCACTGGGGAAGTTCATGCATTTGCATGGTTTAACTCAAGTTTTCAAAACATAGCTAGATAAACGCTACATATTTGGATTACATTTTAAAGAAAATCAATGCGGTCCATCAGTAAGAAACTCTGTTATGTATACTTGATGGGAATATCATATCAATTTGATGCGCAACGCCGAATGTGTAATCAATTACAAGGGTCTAGTGCACGTGCACATAGGGTAGGTATACTTGCACACATCTGTACACCACATCATAATAATTATAGTTGCTGATCACGTCCATTTGTAATATTAAACTTTGCTTTTATTAATATTATTACATCGTGTTAATTAGTTGTTCTTATATTATTTCGATGGATTCTTGCCAAAAGTTGAAATCATATTTTGATTACCAAAATACATCACAAAATATAGATTTAAAATGTTTATTGTATATTTTATAATATAAAATAATATATTGACATTTTACAATAAATATTTTACATTACTGTTACTATATATCATAACTAAACAAACATATAGTGAAAATAAACAAGCCTGCTGATTTTAGAGTACACGCAATATCATATAATTGTATTATACCTATATACGTATTTTATTCACATTCTTTGATTTGTATAGGCTATAATATGATATAATTTAATAAAAGTTTAATTTTATTTGTCAAATTATTGTAAGCTTGTCGGACCATTGTAATATACATATAATATATTTTAATATTTACTGTCAAAAATGTATTACACTGATTAAATTTATATTAAAAGCAAATTTGTAGATGAGCATATTTTTTTTTGTTGCGAAAACCACAAACTTAAAATGCAACTTAATGCTTACGTCAGATGTTGTCTACAATGCAGACGATTTTTTTAAAAATGTGTTTTATCTCACAAATAGCTGTATAATATAATAAATTATTCTCACTACACATATTTAGAATGTATAATATTATTTTTAAGTAAATGTTAATTATCTTGAATACAATAAATAATAATTGGAACGAGTACACAAGAAGAACTATTAATTTATGGTTGTATCACATGATGTAGTAGTTGGGATTTCGTTTGAAAAACTGACGTCACAAGTTGTTTCGTAGAACTATAATTTATACATTTCAAAGTATTTTTGAAAAACATGTAAAATATGTATGTATAACACATTCGTTATGTTTTTATATCGTTTGTAGTTTTTATATATTTAAACTTAAAGTAGTTTATATATTCTATATCACTAATTTTCGCGTAGGATTCTTTAATTTGATATCAGCGTTTTCCAGCCTTTTACGGTAGCATTAAGTAAGTTAAACGAATTGAAGAAACAAAAACAATTTTAACAGGTTTAAAGGGTTAACACAATGAAGTAAGATTGTGAAGGATGAGTTAGTCCGTTTTTTCATTGCTTCTAGTGGATTCGTTAAGCGCATGTGACGTAATGCTGTCACTCAAAAACGTTGACAAACCTTTCCTAAGCCATAATTTAATTTTAAGATTTTTAAGCTTGCAGATATAAACATGTATTCTTGTAATTTTTAGAAAGGGTTTAAATCTCAACTACTTATATATATATATATATGACTAAATTCCTACTTACATAGAACACGTCTATTTGTTAAGTGGTTTATTATTTTTGTGATAAACAATAATTAGGGTTTTTCATTGTATTGGTGAGGGTTCGCATGTATAATTAAGACTTGAGTGTATCCAATACTTAAGTCCGGAACGCCCGAACTTTATAATAGCCAAAAATCGAAAACAATTTAATTAAATAACATTATCCGACTGGATTATCATTGAGACAAACTAACGAGAAAACGATTCGGTTTATTGGAACAATCAACTATTACCTATTTTAAACGAATAACGTCCATCTGTATTTTGAACATTGAAAATGATTTTAAAAAAAGAACATTTTTTTTTTACAATGTATTAAAAGCTATTATTATGATAAAAATAATAATTGTCATTTGAAATATACATTCGGTAAGATAAGAAAATGACGATTTATAGTAATATTTTATTTGTTATTTTCTTACTAAATGAAAATAAGGGTGTACAACTTTTTTGCTGCAATGTAATATAATATTTAAATTGTCATTTGATTCGTACATTTGGCGGGGAGATAAAAAAACATCTCTTGATGTATTAGCCTTGATGAGTGTCCTTCCCGGACGGTGTTTGCCCGAAAAAAGCGTGAAAAAATAAAGAAAATAAAACAATTTATCATTTTAATCACGGCCCGAACGTTCATCTCTCTTATTGTGCAAAAGCATTCGTTGTCAGATTGGCGACGAGATACGCCCCCGAAAAAACATCATCTTGCCGTTTTCCAAAAACCATACATCTTGCGCTTTGTACTCGTTCTATCGTGTCAACGATCATCGCTGTTTTGCAGAAACCCCAAAACTATACATATTATATACGTTAGGTAGGTAACACAACTGGCGTGTCTTCGCAAAATATTTCACTCATTGAACGCAAGATTAGTCGTTATTTCTATCAGGACCATTGCATGATTTTGGAATTTTTTTGTTGGGGGACAAAACGGTGTAGTCTTCGAATTTGGCAAACTTGGGTTGGACACGACATCTGGCTGGCAGAAGGAACAGGAATAATAATTAGCATGCAATGTACGTCAGCTTGTTATGAATACCCGGCCGGTACGCCAGACGTTATAAATATTTAAGTCGCAATAACATCTCCGTGCATATTTAATGGGAACGGCTATTGTAAAATATAATTGTATTATATTATAGTATACCGCTTTCGGCGGTTATGCTCAGAGGACAAGTTATACTAAAGTAATGGGTACGCGCCATATCTTTATGTACAGAGTAGTCTGAGCACTGTAGTATTATACGGGCACAATGGGGAAAATTAAAAACCGTGTAAACCCCGGCATTAAAGGTATAAAAAAAAAACTTATCAAAAGACCATATTTTTTTTTGGAACAACACTACTCGAGCTACTAAAATTGAGCTTACATGATAATATTATGTACTGGCTTTGTCCGTTTAAGCTGTTAGAACGCGTTACCCCAGAGACAATACATATATAAATATTATCGTTTGAAAACGTACTTATACAAGACCTGTGTCCAAGCGAGAACTCATTAAGCCCGGCTTTTTACCCCTAAATCGCTTACACGGGCACACTTTAATACCAATACATTATAATAACAGCTTAGCCATTTAGCGATTGCCCGCGCCGTTTCCGGTCGGGTTTAACGTTGTTCGGTCGTTTCGCCCTTAAGTACAACTACATTTTGGCATCGGTTAAACCGTGTTATCTTGTACACTTATCATTGACAATAGCCGAAGCACATACACCGTTCATTAGCCAGCCAGACGATGATAATAATAGCATACAATAACATTGTGCGCCCATTAAAATAATCGAATATCCGACTTGATTAAATATCAAATGTGGATAATGTATTATATGGTTATGTGATTATAAACTTGATAAAAAAAAACCACCTTGACGACAAAAATGGCATAATCGAATATTGTTGAGACAATAGTGAAACAGAGTATAGATTGAGCTGGTTGACTGTTAAAGTAACTGTTTTTAGGGTAGACAATAGACATTGAAGAATTATTGACCTTTTCATACATTTTGCCCATCTCTGATTAATGTTTTAATCCCGTCACAGCTGTTCTGCGGTTCGATAACGGCCGCGATATCCGAACCAATTAATTTGCTAAAACGTCAAACGCAAAATGTGTAATCTGTTGTGTGATTATTATTATTTTCCCCAGTTAAATGACCGTCCACTCAATAGAGCGGTACCTAGTACCTATAGCTACTCTATTTGATTATTATTGTTTAGAATAGTGTTTTTGGCGGTTCTGTAAATCACGCTGCTTAATGATAAATTAGCATTTTCATAGCGCGACCGCACTATATAGTATAGTAATGATGGTGAAAAAAATACCAACACAATCTCAGCTCGGTTTCATCTACACGCATTCCAAAACCGGTATAATCTCATAGCACTACTATAATTTCCATCATCCGAGACTCTCCATATAACGGCGAGTTATTGTTCTCTCCTGTCGAATTATTCTGTACAAGTGCAAGTTTTTGTAAGTAAAAAAAAAAAATTAAAAATCCCCCAAAAAACTTTCGGTCACAGGCCTGCGTCTGGCAGAGTTCCTGTTCTCCGTCGAGACCATTAATCAATTTCCACAGCAGACTGATTTGCACAGCCGTGTAATCACAGTAGGGATATGCGGGGATTTTAACCCCACCGTTGCTCTACTCGTTTTAAATATTATCGCTGATACGGATACAATGTTCGAGTCTCTCCCAGAACCCGAAAACTGAGAACCAACTTATGTATGGATACAACAACGAGTGTGAACACTATTAATCACTAAAGAAAAACTGCCAGTAGAATGGGTGTGTGATCATCGGGTTTGGGAGAGTATAATGATTTAGCTACAAACAGCTAAAGGTAACAGGTAAATATATTACCATCATAGAAATTCCATCTGTAAAAAAATCAATACATACTCAGCTCGGAGTCGAAGAGCTAAGACGCCTAATAAATAATATTATTATTAATAATTATAATTATCAAAATATAACAATATACATAATTACAAGTACACATAACATAAAATCCATAATATGTATTTACTCCGAAAAACTATATTAACTGCACGATCATATTTTTACCACACTCAACAATGTTGCAATAATTTAACAAATTATAAACTAAATTATAAACTTGTATATTAATCCTACTAAATATCTCATAAGGGTAATCTTGCTTCATACTAAATTTCAAGTTTTCGTATCAAAATTTAGCTGTTTAATAGTTATCATTTTATTTTCAATAATAATAGAGATAAAAAATCCAGGTTTTTTTCATCGATATGCGAAGCTGAGAAGGTGTTTCTTTAAAAAATGTTAGTTAACATACAGTTATTCAAACTACTACTAAACATATTATTTGTTTAAAAATGATTTTAGGCTAAACCCGGGGTACCCAAGATAGGTAGTATAACTAAGTACTAGTATTTTAAAAAATTAATCAACGAGTAGGGACTATTATTGTTTATTTTAATTTGACACTAGGAATATTTAACTAATCTTCTTTTCGACCGGCTCAGCGGACTGCTCGACACTCATGCTGAAAGCTTCAACGGATACCTGACGGAATTTACCAAACGTGTCTTTAACACCTTTGAATGCTTTTTTAGCCGTACCACAAGGATCTTGCCTGATCTTGATCGATAACTACATAAAATACAATTTGTATAGGCGCGAAACGCAAATTACCACAGTAAATTTTAATTGGTTTTGTTGTCCATATTACATTACCTTTTCGAGTGGGTCCTTAATTTTGTTGACATGTTCCGTGGCAAATGTGATTACTTTCTTTTGCAAGTCGTTGCTTGAAACCGATCTAGATAGTTTGCCGGAGGTTACGACGAATTGTTTCTTAAGATCATCGAACATTTGGTTAATTTTTCGATCCTCTATTTCTCTAGATATAGTGCCAGCGATTTTATTAACGGCCGAACTACATTCCTCGATTGCCTTCTTCGCCAATTCCGAGTTCTCTACCTTGCCCGCAATCTACGCATAACGAGTTTTAATGTACGGAATACAATAATCAATTAATTTAGTGTGTTTTAATAGTTGTGTTGTATTGAACATGATGTAGATACCATATTTCGTATTGTTCCAAGTCCAGTTTTCAAATGGTTGACGACCAATTTTAATTTATTTCTGGAAATTTCGATGTACTCACTGCTATTTGCAGCCGCAGGAACACTGCTTAGTCTTTCATTAAGACTTTTAAATGCCTTATTGATCGAAGCACCCAAATTAGGTTCCGCATTCTATATAACGATAAAATTAAAATTAATTGTCTCAAATTAACCGCATATATAATTGTAATGATGGATAGGTTGCCTAGCTCATAGGACACTCCTTAACCTATACATTTTATGTTGGCCAAAGCCAGATAAAGCCATGTACAAGATTACAATGTACTCCCTTTGATAATTACCATGTTGATTGGTAAATATTGCATAGAGTTAATAAAAAGTCTATCCATAAAAATTGAGTTTCTCAGAGTTATTTTTATAATAATCATATTATGCTCATTCAATGCACACTATATTTCTGTGCATTCAATTAGTTTCGACGCAAAGCTGAGATGGCATATTAAATATACATTGTTTCTGTTTTGCTTCTGTCCCCATTATGTTATTGTAACTTTTTTATCCTCTTGGCCGCTTTACTCGCGTGTAGCATCTTTATAAACAGGAAATCGTATCTAGTTTGTTTTCAAAAGGGACAAAAAATGCCCCTTAGCACTTAATATCGAGACGAACCCTTCATTTTACTATTTTTTTACTTTCAACATGGTGTCGCTAGACCTCTGCGAAAAATACACGGATTTTATTGAAACAATTATTAGGCATATGATATAGTGGACTGGATAATAATTAAAGACTTGGACGGAAGAGAAGTAATAAGAAAAGACATCGGTGCAAATAATATGTATATAGCAAACTTCGTAGCGTTCTGCATTATCATAACTGTCTACTTATTGGCATCGAAGGATTTGACAATAATGTCCAACGCTTTAAACTAATAAATATTTTGGTCCCAAATTTCAAATTATTGATGTATAATGCTATCTTAATTTTTTTTTTTTAATTCATGAAAGGCCTTTTTTTAAAAATATTTTATCGACCAAGTAAGAATAATAGAAAAGTACAAAAAAGAATCGTAGACTATGCCAGCAAAATGTTTTAATTTATATTTTATTTTGTTATAGTACCTTTTCGGATTTTAACTTATTCTTTAGCATTTCTAGGTGCTGTACAGTGAATTGGTTTATCTTATTTATCAATTCGGCGTCTTTAACTGTTTTAGATAGATCTTTGTAAGTCTGAACGAATCCTTCCATAAGACCAATAATCTTTTGGTTAACACTTCGGGGATCTACATCTTCTGATATATTTTGAGTGTTTGTGTCGGTGGATGTGCCAGCTAAACTACTATCCTCGATTATTCTTTCGGCCAATTCTGGAGACTCGGTCTTGCCCGATATCTAAAATACAAATTACTGTAGTATTTTAATAGTTTTATTATATTGAGTATGAAAAAGATACCATGTTTCGTAGATGTCCAAGTCCAGCTTTTAAATGTCCGGCAACGTCACTGAATGTACTTTTGGCATTATCTACAAACTCGGGACTAGTGAGTTCTTCTTCAATCTCTTTAAACGCTTGAGCGACTGTAGGATTCAAATCGGTTTCGTTAACTCCTGTTTCGTTGATTTCATCAGTATTCTGTATAAAAATAAATTGTCTTTAAAACATATTAATAAATATTGTATATCTATATAAACAGCTTATTATCATGTGTTAATCAAAACCAGACAGAACTATAAAAAAAATAGTCCTTTTAAAATAACTATGTTGATAGGTAAAAAGCATACAATTCTTAATTGAGCATCTCGATAGTAGTTCAAAGTTATATTTGTTACAAATACATAACAATTAATCACAATACAATTCTGTGAATTTAATCCGTTTCGATACAAATCTGAGAAGATATATCATTTTTGCAATTTTTTTGTTTCTGTTTCTACTACCCATTTAAACTTCTGAACCTCTATACAATCTTATTGATTTATAGCATTATACTGCAGTATTGCACTGCCCCGAGCTAAATTGGGGAATGTAACTAGTTTTATCATACACAGTACCTTTTTGGATTTTATGATCTTTTTCAATTTTTGGAGGTATAGAATAGTGAATTGTTCTATCTTCATTCTAGATTCGGAGTTTGTAACTGTGTCAGATAGTTTGTTGGATGTGTCGACGAATTGTTTCTTAAGAGCACTAATCGTTTGTTTGATATTTTGTGCCTCCGTCTCTTTTAACAATTTTTCAGTGATTTGGCCAACAGCTATCTTACTATCATCGATTACTTTTTTGACCTTATCAGAAGATTCGACCTTTTCTGTAATCTACATAATATTATCAAGTATTATACCATGCGAAATGCAAACTACTATAGTATTACAATGGTTTTATTGTATTGAGTATGCTATAATTACCTTATTTTGTAATTGCCATAGTCCAGTTATGAATGTTTCGGTAACGCGTTTCAATTCAGTGTTCACCCATTCTAAGCTGTGGTTGTCTTTACCGTTTAATTCTTCAAGCCTATGTTCGATCTGTTTCAGCACATCATCTATGTCAGGTTCGGTGGTCGTTGAATCAACCCCGGTTTCGTTGATTTCATTAGTATTCTGTAAAAAAATAAATTGTCTTTAAAACATATTAATATATGTATATCTATATAAACAGCTTATTATCATTTGTTAATCAAAGCCAGACAGAACTATAAAAAAATAGTCCTTTTTAAAAAAACTATGTTGATAGGTAAAAAGCATACAATTCTTAATACAGCATATCGATAAAAATTAAGTAGCTGAAATTTATATTCATGACAACTACATAAGAATAAACGGTAAACCACAATACAGTTCTGTGAATTCAATTGAATTGTAAATTTCGAAAAGGGCCCATCTCGAGTTTTGATCAAAATTGATTTTCCCGCGTTTTTTTCATTTACACATATAGACCGATATTTTATTAGCGAAAAAGGCCCAAATCTGTTTTCTATTGTGATGAAAAAAACATCCTATTTAACATAATTAAAAAGAAAATCAGTTTTTTTGAGTTTCCTGAACAATTTTAATTTTCCGATATGAGCCCTTTTCGAAATTCCCAATTCAATTAGTTTCGATTTAAATCTGAGAAGATATATTCATTTTACAATGTTTTTATTTTTGTTTCTGTTTCCACTACCCATTCACTGAACCTCTATACTACTTCACTAGTCTATAGCATATTAATCAATCACAAACTGTATCTTGATTGTTTTTAAAGGTTTTTTTTAACACTTTTAAATTACTTAATCTACTTTATTTGTCGAATTTCATAATTGCCTCAGCATACATAAAATAATAAGATCACAAATATAGTTTATAAGCAAGTATTGTAACAAAATAAGTTAACTAAGTATGAAATAAAGTGAAAACAAAATTAAATAAAAAGCAGAGGTTTCTTTCACTAAACTAAGTACAACTGTATTGAGAATATGATGATTTAGTTTAGCTTTATAATGCTGTTGTGTTTAAAGGTAAATTTTTTTATAAATAAATACATTTGAACTAATAGCTACAATAGTATCTTGAAGTCCCGGGCGATATAATTATTCTTTGATACATTGTACACAAGTTATAACCTCAAGAACCACATAACTGAATTCAACATTTGTCACTTGAGAATTCTATATTAGAATCGACAAAACTACACAATGTAGCCTTCGGCAGCCAACGCAAACTATCCGTTAGCTAGGATCAAATTAAAAAAATAATTCCTATAAACCTATGATCTTCCCCCTCCCCTTTATGCCCTGACCCCACTGTACTGGTTTTTTTTGTCCTGTTTTCAAATGGTTTCGCTATTTTTTTTATTATTATCAATTCGGTTAAAACTAATTCAAAAATGTTTGTATCCACGGTATACGCGGATACATTGACACATGGATACGTCTCTTTTCTTATCTGTAATCTGTAATCTCTTATCTCTTCACGCACAAATTTTCCTCGGTAAAGTTCAGCGAGACGCACAGATTTTCTTATTGACCCCAAACCAAAAGACATATCCATGTCAATAAATTGGCATATTGCACATCCCCGAACGGAGCCGGGGAACGCAGCTAGTTTTATTATACACAGTACCTTTTTGGATTTTAAGATGTCTTTCAATTTGTCGAGGTATAGCATAGTGAATTGTTTTATCTTCATTCTTGAATCGGAATTTGTAGCTGTGTCAGATAATTTGTTGGAGGTTTCGACGAATTGTTTCTTAATATCATTAAACGTTAGTTTAATACTTCGAACGTCGGTCTCATTTAACATATTTTCAGTGATTTTGTTAACAGCTTTACTACTGTCCTCGATTACTTTTTTGGCCGTGTCAGAAGACTCGACCTTTTCTGCAATCTACATAATAGTATTCAGTATTATACACGCGAAATGCAAACTACCATAGTATTTAAACGGTCTTATTGTATTGAGTACGTTACAATTACCTTATTTTGTAATTTCCCTAGTCCAATTATGAATTTTTCGGTAACACGTTTCAATTCAGTTTTTACCCATTCTAAGGTCTGATTGTCATCTTTATTATCGTTTAGTAGTTCAAGTCTTTCAAGTCGTTGTTCGATTTGTCTCATCAAATCATCTATGTCAGATTCGTCGGACGTTGAATCAAACCCTGTTGGATTTTCGGGTTCGCCAATTTCTCCGTCGAAAGTTACATTAGACTGTGTTGCAATATCGGATTCAACACTCAAATCCCCACTGCTACCGATGTATTCATACTCAATACTGGAGTGCGTACTATCAGCTCCATTACTACCATCATCGCTTTCCCGGTCGCTTATAACAGGCAAGTCTGATTCATTTTTTTTATCACCTTCATCACACTAAAACAATTTGTGTTTAAATATTAAGTCGGATATTATGTATGTTTATTTTAATTTATTGAAAATGAAACAAGTAGGGACATACTCACCTTAATGATGGTAATTGCTAATAACACGCCTAAAATGACTTTAACTGAAAGCATTTTCATTTTTTTTTTTTTAATGCGTAGAATATATATTTAGTAGAATACTTTTAACTGGTTCGGAGGCTACAAGAACAATGTCAGTGTTACTTATTTTGAACAAAACACATATTTTTTTACTAGTGGCAACTGAAAAAAAAAACACATTAGTAAACATCAATATTTTCGGTTACCTTATGTAAACAGCTAATAATATTGTTATTGCAACTGTAGCGGAAAAGACTTGGCACTTGGAATACTGTAAAGAAAACAAATCTTTGAACTTTAACATAGTATATCAACTGTTTCCAAGTCATTATATGAATATTAAAAACTATGCTGCAACTAATTGGTAATAGTTAATTACACTATTATAATATATTGATTTTTATAATGTTTACTGCATTATGAGATGCAGAAACATTATTCGTTTCTTCCTTCCTTTTTTTCTTACCTTCGGTTGTTCCAATAAATAACTTTGTCGTACCTACGGCCTTGCTTTGACCTCGTTATTTTTATAAATACAAACGACTTCGGTAGTTTTTACATTTTATTTTATACAAATCATAATACAAATGTGACATTATGTGTAACATCTGTACATTATGTCATGCCCATACCAGCTGATAAGGAATTTCATATTTGATGGGTTGGAATTATTATAGAGGATGCCGTCCTAATGTAAAGCCGATGAAATAGGTTTGAGATTCGGCGAAGAGAACTAATTTTTTCTCTAGGCAGAAAGTTTCCCAGCGAAATCTATATGTCTAGTGACCGCAGGAGTCGAACCGAACACATTTTCCAATAGGGCATGCCATTGCCCAACAAGCGTTCAAATATCTATTGAAATATTATATTTTAATTTGTTAATACTGATATAAAGACTAGTGATTTATAGTGGCCGCATTTTCACGGTGTATTTCAACAAGAACGTACCCTCGACCAATATATTATATTTGCAGGTCTAAATCAGAGCCTAGATAAAAATATAGTGTAACGTTTGGAAACACAGACGACGGAAAGGTATATAAGGAAACACAAACTGGAGACTTTTCTCGGTGAACCTTTGTCGGGTTCACTTTGTCGTTGTCGCGTTTCCGACACAGCTGTTGTAATATTTTGCAAACGAAGATTCCAACAACAAAACGGCTATTATAGTATGTCACCAGACATAATAAATATAACAACCGTACACGACGACCGTGACCCGACTTCAAAAACTACAAACGATACGTACAAGCCAAAGGAAATTCCTGCGCGCACACACACACATGCGACATAGTGGTGTCAACAGTGGAAGCGGTCGGCAAAAACATATTGTCATCCCTTCTGGCGAGCAAACCTTTCCTCGCCTTTGTCGTCCTAACCGCGTTCCGGTCACAGTACTATCATCCCACCCATTGTGTGCGATGCTATATATTGTTTTGTGCCATCCCAAACGATCTAGGCTGAACTTTCATAAATTAGCCCTCGTAACGCGCGCCACTTTCACACACCCCTCCGCCTCATTCGAAAACGACCAAACAATGACTGCCCCTCTCTCTTTGTCCTCCCCTGAATCGTACCTACCCATTAGTCCATTTCTCCGATTGTTTCACGGTCGGTACACGAACCCAGCGACGTCTGCCAAAACTATAATATATATATATTGTACGCGAATAGCTCCAAACCCCGCTTTGTCCGGGGTAGCCACACGGTTTATGCGTGCACCCGCGGTACCTAATGATAATTTAAATTTAAAAAAATAACATAAAATTGAAAAAAAACCTCTACTACCACCACCGCCGTATCGCTATACACGAGCAAAGGTTCGGAGGGCACAGGCCGCGCAGTAGTCGCGGATGGACAGCGCACGATGATGGATGGATAGACGGCCGGCCGAATGCGGTCTGCGTTTAGACCGTATTGCCGTGATATTATGCTAATGACCGTCCGGCAACAGCGGGTTTATTACACTATATTATAATATACAGCAGTCGCCTATACAAAACTGCAGTGACGAGGCGGCCACTCGGAAAACAACCGAGAAAGTCTAACTAGCTTAAAATTTAAAAAAAAACCGAATTATACATTTTATGTATTTTCAATTACACTTGTTTGATTTCATCAGATAATTCTGCTTGATCAGTATTTTTTTTACAAAATTGAAGTTTTCATCTCTTGAACTGTAATTAAATTCATGGGCGAACACAAGAAGAGGACTATGGAGGCTGAAGTCCCACCCTTATTTAAAGTATATTTTAAGTTTGTATTCATTAAGAGTATATTTATTTTTGTTCTATCATACTACGTACTCAGTTTACCTCTATGACTACTGCTTATATATATTGGAAGTACATTTTTCTCTAGCCATCCTTGTTACAGTTACTTGGTGACTTTATTTAACCGTGTTGTTTGATTCTTTTTGATTTGAATCAGATCCGAGTACAATAAATTATGCTGAAATTGTAAAAAATCGCATTGTACACGTTCCGGTTGCAATCATTAGCCAAGTGCGTTTTTAAGCTGTTATCAATATTATTATCTTTGTCGTCGTTTTTTGTAAATTGCCGTTTCGGTATAAAATATTTAAAAAAATACAACACATTGACAAAATCAATACATTCTCAGCTATAACGTGTCGAAGCTAAAAGTCTGGATTTTTTTTAAAAATAAACAAATATAATACAGTATGTGACCTAGATGTGAATTTTATATTTAAAACACCGAGCGAACAAAAATATTTGGATAACGTAGAAAAACGTTTACCAAACCAAAAAACCAAATGTAGGCTAGAAAACACTTTAACGAATTTGATACAAGTAAAAAATCGCGATGCACGCACGCGTAGTTTATCCGATTGACACCCAGCTCAATAACATATATATTATGTTATTGTTATGTTAAAAAAATTATATCTATACTTTTTCCCTTTAAAAATGGTTTAAAATATTATTTCTTGGAGGGCGACCACAAAAATTTAAATTTACCGCACAAAAATCGTTAATCTAAATTGCAGAGTTAATCATACTATACCTAAGGGCTATATTTGTACTTAATATTTTAGTTATAATTGAGTTTACACAATTGAATAAGTTTTTAGTTCGTTTTCAATACGTGATTAACAGAAGAGCTTTATTTTAAAAGTATTTATAAGGGAAATACAAGTAATTTAATTTTAAAACAACAAAGTGGCTGGCACTTAATGATCAATAACCGGGTTCAACCACAATGCCGTATTTAAATATTGTGATAAAACAATTTTGATTTTGTAATGTGATGAAATTATAACGGCTAAAAAAAGAACTATTATATTTTATTCTAATAATTCTGAGTAGACTATATTATTGTTATTCGATCATTATCGAATAATTATCAATATTGATTATATGGTATGCCTTTCTTTCCTGACGTGACGCATATTGTTTAGTCATAACTTAGGCGGGACACAATTTGGTTTTTTTTTGGTGGGGGGGAGGGTCACGTATCCTTTAATAAATGTAATAGTAGTCTTGTAGATGTATAGTATGGCGTAAGTATTTTATACTCCAAAGTTTTGTTGTACATGTACAGGGTGATTTATTTTTTATTTAACACTAATAATTAATACGTGTTGTAAATTATTTTTTTGCATTAAGTATTAGAGCTAACAAGAGAAGAATAACATGATTAGCTTTAGTAAAAAAATCACCCATTTTATAGTGTGGTTTAAATATGGCTCTACAGAAACAATTATTAAAGCTATTTATAGTATATTATAATTAATCACAGCTATAAAAGAAAATAAGTATTTAGTTTAAAAAAAACTTTTAATATCGTAATGTCTGCCTAATTAATCATTTTATAATATATCATCCATTGTTTTTCATCTTTTCCTAAAATGACAACAAAACCGAACACTTTTTAACCCTATTAGTACGTTTTAAAACAAAGGAGGGATAAATCTCATCAGTCATAGCAAGTAGGATTTTTTTCCGACATTAAGTATGAAATTAATTTTCAATTACGTTATACGTACTGTTTTTTTTAAACTTTTTACTACTAAAGCGCTAATATAAAAATATAATACATGTAAAATACATTTTTTTATTTTTTTATTTATAATTTTAGATTCAAATCACACTCAAATGTTTATGTTTCATAACTGAATAAAAATCCTTTTATTAAAATGTATACATAAAAAAATAATAACTATTGTTATTAAAACCTTATTTAAAAATATAATTGTATACAACGTTTCTATGAGGAAAATAATAAAATGGTTTTTCATAAAATGATAATCTTTACCGTGAAATTCAATGCTAATTTAAACAAAAAAGAGTATGGAAACGCGAGTAAACAATTATACAACACAAGTATGTAGTCAATTGTTATTCAAAATTTGATCAATGAATTCATTTCTGCACATACATTTTTTTTAATCTTAAAATTGTAAAAAAACGGTTTTATAGTATTTTCGGCGTGTTGTGTACGTTTTTTTATAATTCAGTTCAAATTGGGTTTTTATAATTCTATTTTCTCTATTGAAATTACAAACAATCTCAAAGTTAAAATAGAATTTGTAGTTATTTTCTATACAAGAAAGAAAATTAGAAAATGTCGATTCTAGCGTTTTAAAACCACTTTCTTGACCTCTTTAAAAGCGATAGAAAAAACAAATCGACATCATATATTTTGATTTTGTTTCAAAAAATCTCCCAAATATAGCTGATGTTAGCGTATTATATTATGTAGACAGTTAAGTCAGGTGTTCTTGATTGATTTCATAACATTTTGCTTTATACTTGGAACGATACAACCAAAGTTTCAAACCATTTTATAGAATTCATTAATAGTGTGCATAATTTATTGTCTCGGTGTATACATTATTATTAATAGTGTGCGTTACACGTCATATACAATCGCACACTTTTTTGTACAAGACTTTAATACATTTGAGTGTGGATTCGGATTCGGCTAAATAGCATCAGACATGCTATACCCCAATAGACATAAGCTCGACAGCACACGGGCAACACACACAACGATTACCTTACACTTAGTGCACACACCATACACACACTAGCAGCTACCTCTTATCGGCGTTTCTACCAATCGTTGGGCGCCGCCGAGTGAAAGCAATAAATCCAAAGATGCCGCTTACACAACCGTATATAGATCTCTGATGCCATCCCAAGAAAACGCAGTCATTCGAGCATTATGTATAAGATAAACAGAATACCATGTTGTGCGTATCCCACAGAGCTGATTATGATTTCACGAGCATTGTTGGTCCATATATTTTATTATCGCATACATAAACAGCTATCGATAGACATATTATGTACATTATCAGCTCGAATGCGGGAAATATTGAAGGGATGTTTTTTACGGGCTCAGAAATATAATATTCAGCCATTCTACATAAGACTTTTTTTTCGAGTTGCCAAATTCCGGTTATATACACAGAAAAAAACTACTAACAGATTTCAACGAAGGCCTGTTACAAGTAAAATAAGTACAATAGAGTGGATGAAAACAAAAAAAATAGTAACGTTCAGATTGGTTCACTCGAGTACGATAGAGTAACATAACTTAGCATATGTTAACTTATATATGTTAAATCATAATATTATAGTAATAACTTGCCACAATTTGACTACCAAATTAATAGTTCCTTGATAAATTACCGCTCATAAGTGTTGACATTGGCCTTTTTTGTTTTCATCATATTATGTATTAACTCTATAAATAATATATACTTATTACTCAAATTACAAAACTTGTGGTTATTCTCTTTATACTCTTTTTTGTTGTTATTATTTTTTTATATAATCAACCTTGCAACAAATGTTTAGGTTTGGGTTTGAAATGTTATTCTAAAATATTTAATGTAACTAAACGAAATCTAATTTTGTATATATTCAGCCGTAATCAATCATTTATAATACATAACATGATAGTCAAGTGACCAATTACTGTCCATTATTACTTGTAACTACTTGAAATCCCATTCACTGTGTTTGCTTCCAAGCTATAATGGCTAGTTAATACATTGTGCAGTCAGTAGGTACCGTTTTCATGACCAACCCACACAAAGGGCTAAATATCATATTAAACATAAACGTTATACATATTATTTATAAGTGTTATATCCTTTCTTGTAAGTTTATTTACATAAAACCTTAAGTCATGTGTTATAACATCTAATTTGTATTTTTTTAGCACCAGAGTAACATGACATCGACGCTGAACAGTATTTTTTGATAGTTTTAATACGTTTTTCAATTGTTTGTTTTATTAGTTGATACGATAATCAAAATAGACTCTATTAAGCTTACTGAAAATGTAGAGTTGGAATAATCTAATAAAATTAACATATTATAATGTATTTTATTGTGTTGTTTTTCCATCTTTTGATATAAAAACGATTGTGTACATTTATGCGAATAAATTATTTTAACGGGAGCAAAAATTAAGCCGATTTCTTAGCGAGCAATATTTATTCAATTAAGCCTCGACGATAAGTTAACGACTGCAATTTTCAGGGAATCAGCATTTTTTTTTTTTTTTTTATTGCAGCTTAAACATAATGATAGTATAATTAATTATCAAGAAATAGTTTACAAATTATCTTATCTTCTTAATTATTATTATTATAAAAACGACTTGGAGACAATTTATTCATAAAATCCCCGCTCAAGGGTTGAGATTTTTTGCGGGCGTGGAAAGTCTAATATTAATATTCTCACAAAAAAAAAACAATGCCACAGTTGTAAAATGTATATTATTAAAATACAGTGTACAGATTTTAATTAATAATAATACTGCGTTTGGTCTACACTTGGATTTTTTTTTTACATGTAAAATTAAGTATAGTTTCAAACAACGATTTCGGTATAACGTTTTAGATATTTATTTGTCTTGCCTTTGTATACGGCTTTAAATATTATTCGAGCGTAGCTGGCAAAATTTTTGTATTCTATTATTCTGTTTAGCTATAACGGATTTAGCTTGATAAAAATATAAAAACCCGTTTAACATGACGTCAATACGGTTGTTGTCGCAGCAGCTATATGGAACGCGTACAACCCAGCGACACAGCACAGGTGTAACAAAGCATCATTTAAATAATGCTGTTTATTCAAACGGTCGGTCGCTGTGAAACAAAACGAAAAGAGAGCGGGGAGGGGTGGAGACTCATAAAATGATCGAAATATGTATTAATATAGTGTCGGTGAGTTTAGGGTGTTTTTCATTTTTTTTTTTCAATCGCCATTCGCGAACCGCCTAATGGTGGATAATATCATTCGTTACGACGTACAACAATATATTATGCAATCGTTTCGCATTTAACGTTCACCGTTTACCGGCGGCGATGAATATTTATAGCCAGTATAGAGGTAGGTATAAACGCCTAGTGTTGATGTTTTTTTTTTTTTTGACATTTATTATTTATGTATATTGTATTTTTTTTTTTTTTTTTTGCGTCCCTTTGCTAATACCGGAGCTGCACCCTTTAAATTATCGCCTCCGTCATCGTATCGGTGCCAGCCCTGACGTGGTCAAAAGCATAAAACGCACGTTCGCCAAATACTCGGTTTCTTACCCGCACCCCCACACCCCCCCTTCCCCTTTATAATATGTTTTTATCACATTAAAACGGTCCACAGCGTTGATTTTATGCGACAAACCGGCCGCGCGAAATAATTGTAATAAATAATAATAATTGGCCGTACGCGACCGCCGACCATGTGTGTGTTTACAAGGCGCTTCGTATAGGCAATTGTGGTACAGCCACGTGTGCGGGCCGCCTATTTGTATTCTGATGAGACCGTGCGGCGCGCGTTGCATTTAAACCGAATCACCGCACAGTGGTCTGAGAATGAAATTTAGGTGGCAAAAATAGGCCATTAATAATGTTCAAAAAATCAATTTTTTTTTCTAGGATTTCATTAGTATAATATGATTATTAGTGTAAATATAAAATTTCAACTTAATAACATTTTTTGAACTGGAGTTATAGCCAAGTGAACTAAACACATATTGTTTTTTCTGTTATTTTAAAAATAAAAAGACTAATAATTCATTCATTTTTTTTTTTTTTTTGGTATTGAAATATATAAAATAAAAAAAATTAAAAATGCCTTGATTGTTAAGTAACATATAAAGATTATAAAATTAAAACAATTTTTTTAATTTTAGTCTCTAACGGTTATGAATCATAAAAAAATCGAATGGTTTTTTTTTCAAAGACTTCAGTTAAAAATTACCTAATTTTACCCTATACCCAATATATATGCATTTTGTAGAGGAAGTTCTCAGCTATAAGAATATATAATTTTTTATTGTGTCCCGTTGCATCTCCAACGCTCAAAAATCATATTGTCATAAAAATTGGTGTTTTTATTAATTTAAAAATTTGTATAGAAAATTAATTATCTGTATACAATTAAATACAACTAAATAAATGTACAAAAACAAAATATGTAAAACTGTTATTTACAAGTACTAAACGTTTGAGGGGGTAATCAGTAAATATAAAGTTATACTGGGAAATCAAGTATTTCATTTAAACAGACATTTTATGAAATACTAGTTTTGGTTTAAATGCATATATTCATATCAGAAAATGAATCATTCAGTGTAACATATTCGTCGTTGTTAATTATAATTAATGCAAGAATGTTATCAGGAAATTCCTCGGTTTTTTTTCTTGGCAAATTTCTTAGCGATGATATATATGGATCAGATGAAACTAGTAACATATTTAAGAGAACTTCATTGGTGTGTTTTCTACAGTCTTTCCGTGTATGGTGTTTTCGAATATTTGTATAGTCCTTATTCCTGGCCTCTTGTGCTTCTTCAGATCATATCTGTTTAAATGAAATACTTGATTTCCCAATATAACTTTATATTTACTGATTACCCCCTCAAACAATCCATCACGCCTAGTACTTGAAAAAAACAATTTTACATATTGTGTTATTTTGTATTTATTTAATTGTATACAGATAATTAATTTTCTATACAAATTTTAAAATTTAAAAAAACACCATTTTGTATGGCAATATAATTGTTGTGTGTTGGAGATGCAACGGGACGCAACAAAAAATTATGTATTCTTATAGCTGAGAACTTCCTCTACAAAATGCATATATTGGGTATAGGTTAAAATTGAGTGATTTTTAACTGAAGTCTTTGAAAAAAAAACCATTCGATTTTTTTATGATTCATAACCGTTAGAGACTAAAATTAAAAAAATTGTTTTAATTTTATAATCTTTATATGTTACTTAACAATCAAAGTATTTAAAAAAATGTCGTAAAATTGATAATAGAGCAGGTGCTATAAATGTTTATTTTAATTTGACACTTGGAATATTTAACTAATCTACTTTTCGATTAGTCTCGGCGGGCTGTTCGACAATCTGGCTGGAAACTTCAACGGATGCTTGATGGATTTTGTCAATAGTTTCTTTATCACTTTCGAGTTGTTTTTTCAATACAATCTATAAAAAAAAACATTTTATTGCTATTCTAGCCGTACCACAAGGATCTTGCCTGATCTTGATTAATAACTACATAAAATAAATTATTATAGGTGCGAAATACAAATTACTGTAGAATATTTTAATTGGTTTTTATCATTCTTTATAGTATCTTCGGCCACCCAAACAAATATTGAAAATCAGTTTCATATGTAAAATAACCACAGCTTTATGACAATTTTAAGAAAACCCAACTTTTTAGATAATAATCTCAATTTTAATGACTTTCTGTAACCAAAAAAAAAAAAAATCTCTTTACTAATAATAATCACAATGTTCACTCAATGCACACTATATTTCTGTGCCTTCAATTAGTTCCGATGCAAAGCTGAGATGGCATATTAAATATACATTGTTTCTATTTTTCTTCTATTCCCATTATATAAAGAAAATTGTCTAACCGCTTTACTCGCATGTAGCATCTTTATAAACAGGAAATCGTACTAAGTTTGTTTTATAAAGGGACAAAAAATACAACTTAATTCTTAATACCTCGATGAAGCCTTAATTTTACTACATTTTTTACTTTCAACATTGTCTCGCTAGACTTCTGTGAAAAATAGACGGATTTTATTTAAACAACTATTATGCTATAGTGGACTGGATAATTAAAGACATGATGGAAGACAAGTAATAAGAAAACACATTCAAGGAAAGACATCGGTGCAAATAATAATATGTGTAGGTATAGCAAACTTCTTAGTGTCCTGTATTATCATAACTGTCTACTTATTGGTATCGAAGGATATGACAATAATGTCTAACACTTTAGACTAATAAACGTTAGAAGAAATGTTTTGGTCCCAATTTTTAAATTATTGATACATGCTGCTATCTTAGTTTTTTTTTTAAGTACATGAAAGACCTTTTTTTTTTAAATATTTTACCGACCAAAAAGAATAATAGAAAAGTACAAAAAGGAATCGTAGCCATTACCCCTAAAATTCCAGCAAAATGTCTTTATTTATATTCTATTTAGTTATAGACAGTACCTTTTCGGATATTAACTTATTCTTCAATAATGCTAGGTGATGTATGGTAAATCGGTTTATGTAACTTTTCAATGCGGCGTCTTCAACTGTTTTAGATAGATCTTTGTAAGTTTGAACGAATCCTTCCATAAGACCAATAGTCTTTTGATTATCACTTCGGGGATCCACTTCTTCTGATATATTTTGGGAGTTTGTGCCGGTGGATGTGCCAGCTAAACTACTTTCCTCGTTTATTTTTTCGGCCACTTCAGGAGACTCGGTCTTGACCGATATCTAAAATATAAATTACTGTAGTATTTTAATATTTTTTTTATATTTAGTATGAAAAACATACTATTTGATAAATTTGTTGTAAATGGCCAAGTCCAGCTTTTAAATGTTCGGCAACATCACTTAATGTACTTTTGGCTTTATCTACAAACTCGAGACTAGTGAGTTCTTCTTTAATCTCTTTAAGTACTTGTGTGACTGTAGGATTCAAATCGGCTGTTCCGTTGACTACATCAGTATACTGTATACAAATAAATTCTCTTTAAAATATATTAATATATATCGTATATCAATATAAACAGCATATTATCATGTGTTAGTCAAAGCCAGACAGAACTATAAGAAAAATAGTCCTTTTTAAATAACAATCATGATAGGTAAATAGCATACAATTCTATCCTAATATTTGCTTTTTTAAATCGTTTTTAGAAACTAGAAAATGAAATAAATTTTAGAGAAAAAACGTAATAAGTGAAAGTGAACTACTTAAGGTGAAAGTGACATTTATTATTTTTTAATCGATATATATATATATTTCGTATTTGTTCATGCGTGCCATTATAACTCTGAAAACCACCACCACGACCTACTAAGGGTATTTGGTGTGGTAGCCCTCCATCCTTATATCCATGAAGGAGGTTTCGGTTTGGAACTGCAGGGGTTGGGTTTGGAGATATGGGTGTAAAAAGAGGGCATCTCATGGATTACTAGTCGGTGGAGCAGCTGGGAATTGAGTGCCGAAGTGCCCGAAAATAGCCAGAATGTTAGCTTGCTCTACAGTAGGAAACTCAAAGAGTCTATATATCTATTCACCAAATAATAAGATGACAAATATAGTTTATAAACAAGTATTCTAATAGAATAAGTTAATTAAGTATGAAATAAAGCGTAGACAAAATTAAATAAAGAGAAGAGGTATATTTCACTGAATTAAGTACAACTTATCGATTTCCTTATTGACCCCTAGCTAAAAGACATATCCATGTCACAAAATTGGCATATTGCACAGCGCCCACCGGATTCGGGGAACACAGCTAGTTTTATTATAAAGAGTACCTTTTTGGATTTTAAGATGTTTTTCAATTTTTTGAGGTTTAGAATGGTGAATTGTTTTATCTTCGTTCTTAAATCGGGGTGTGCCGCTATGTCAGATAGTTTGTTGGATGTGTCGACGAATTGTTTCTTAATATCATTAAACATTAGTTTAATACTTCGAACGTCGGTCTCATTTAACATATTTTCAGTGATTTTGTTAACAGCTGTCCTACTATCCTCGATTATTTTTTTGGCCGTGTCAGAAGACTCGACCTTTTCTGCAATCTACATAATAGTATTCAGTATTATACATGCGAAATGCAAACTACTGCAGTATTTAAACGGTTTTATTGTATTGAGTATGTTATAATTACCTTATTTTGTAATTCCTCTAGTCCAATTATGAATTTTTCGGTAACACGTTTCAATTCAGTTTTTACCCATTCTAAGGTCTGGTTGTCATCTTTATTATCGTTTAGTAGATCAAGTCTTTTAAGTCGTTGTTCGATCTTTCCCAGCACAACATCTATGTCAAGTTCGTTGGTTGTTGAATCATGTTCAATATGTTCTAAATCTGAATCTGAATCTGGATCGTACACAATACCCCCGACAATTTCAAACTCATGAATGGGTTGCGTACTACCAGCTCCATTACTACCTTCATCGCTTTCCCGGTCACTTATAACAGGCAATTCTGACTTATTTTTTTCATCCACTTCACCACACTAAAACAATTGTGTTTAAATAATATGTCAGGTATTATGTATGTTTATTTTAATTTTATAAAAATAAAACAAGTCTGGACATACTCACCTTAATGACGGTAATTGTTAATAACACAGCTAAAATGACTTTAACTGAAAGCATTTTCATTTTTATTTTTTTATTTTTAATGCGTAAAGAAAGATTTTTTGCAGAATACTTTTAACTGAATTGGAGGCTACAAGAACAATGGTAGTATTACTTATTTTGAACAAAAAACATATTTTTACTAGTGGCAACTGAAAAACAACACATTTGTAAACATTCATATTTTCGGTGACCTTATGTAAACAGCTAATAATATTGTTATTGCAACCGTAGCGGAAAACATTTAGGCACTTTGTACACTAAAAAAAAAAAAATCTTTGAACTATAACATAATATATCGACTATAGGTTATATACATAATATCGGTAGTTTTTAATTTTAATTTTATACAAATCATAATTCAAATATAGCATTATGTGTAACGTTTGTAAATTATGTCCTGACTATACAATCTGATACGGAATTTTATATTTGATGGGTTGGAATTATTATAGAGGATGCCGTCCTAATGTAAAGTCGATTAAATAGGTTTGAGATTCGGCGAAGGGAACGCTGGGTAATTATTTCTCTGAGCAGAAAATTTCCCAGCGAAAAATATATGTTTAGTGACCCCAGGAGTCGAACCGAACACCTTCTCCATTAGGGCATGTCATTTCCCAACAAACGTTCAAATACCAATTGAAATTTGAAATATTATATTTTAATCTGTTAATATTGTCTTAAAGACTTTTATTTATTTTAAAGTCATTGGTAGTTCGTACCTGCTTACTCCAATCTTGGCCGTATGAAGAAATGGTACATAAAACCTTATCAAAAACGTTTACACTAGCTATCAAACGTATAATTCATTTATTTATTTATTCGTATGTTTTGTCGTTATATCCAATATATAGTATATGGTAATGATATAACATATAATAGAATTTATAGTAGATACGAATAACAGTAGTTAAATATAATTAAGCTAATTGATTAAGATATTTGGTATCGACGTTGGAGCTTCTTTGTCTGGTAACTGAAAGGGACTTTTATGGGATTAGGTTAAGTTGGGTTGAATTGAGTTAAGTTTCCAGGCCAGGAGATCGTTAGAAACGACAATTTGGCCTCCAAGTTTAGTCAGGAAACTTAACCGTTTGGTTTAGAGTGTCCTTCTCGAGATTAGGTGTTTAAGGAGTCTCCTTTTAAAGTGATGGCCAGCTATAGTATCTGGGACCGCTTAGCACAGACTCAATTAGGATCCCGTGAGCTCCCCTCCAAAGATTAGGTAATATAATTCCTATTCAATGTTAACAGCAGAATATTGGGAAAATACATAGCCCTAAGTTTTATAAAATCATGTAAAAAACAAGTATCAGTATATGAGTATTATTTTTTAAATTTTATGCGTGACTACAGAGTTGTATAAACAGTTGTAGCTATAAAGCGTACAATAAAAAAAACACATATATTCACGAAAATATATCTATTATGATATTTTAGCTAAAGAACATTTTATACAAACATGGAACTAATTCGACTATTTTTAAAAAAGTTATAGAGCACCGTAATTCCGTTGAAGAATGAGTACAATTTTTGGGTGTTTCTCTCAGATAAGAAGGGGAATGGTTGAACTATTTCCTAAAATGACAACAAAACCGAACACTCATATAATACAAAACTATATTTATTGTAAATTACATTTTTTTTTTAATTTATATTTTTAGATTTAATAATACTTAAATTATTATGTTTTATAACAAAATTAAAATCCTTTTACCAAAATTTATACTTATAAAAAAACTAATAAAAACATTTTTTTAAATCTTATTTAAAAACATAATTTTATACAACGTTTCTATGAGGAAAATAACAAAAGGTTTTTTATAAAATGATTATCTTCACCTTTGAAATACAATGCTAATTAAAACAAAAAATAGTATGGAAACTCGAGTATACAATTATACAACACAAGTATATATTATGTATTCAAAATATACAGCTACTGAAATAATAATAACTAATTTTTACAAAAATGAGAAATCAAAAATATCAAAATTTGTTATTTAAATACCTAATGTTCTTATTTTCCTTGATTAATTACCGCACATAAGAGTTGATATTGGCGTTTTTGTGTTCATCATAATACCTTTATTAATAATATATATTTATTACTCAAGTTTAGATTGGTTTAAAAGTTATTTGACAGACAGAAGGCAAATAAAATATTCGAATATTATGTTTACAGAAACCTACTCTTGAAGGTTCAACAAGTCAAAACTTTAAATTATTTAATGCATTACCTGTGGATTTACTATTTAAAAAAATTTCCATTTTATGGGTAGGTAAAAATATAGATAATTGAAGGTGTATAAATAATGAAAAAACAAAAAGGGAACATTTAGCATACGACGTTAAAGTGATGTATTTAAAAAAAGCTTTTGGTCAAAAATTCGTGGATTATCTAGGTCCTACTTATTTTAATTCTATGCCTGTTATTATTAAAAAGAATATAATCGATAAACATAAACATGTTAAAATAACTATTAATAACTGGTTATATTGAACTTAGAATAAGTTATTTATACGTTTACAAGTAGTTACCATGTACACCTTCATTTTATTTTTATTTTTCTTTCATTATTATTCAATTATTATTTGTAAGTAAACTGTCGCTCTCTACCTTCAACACAAGCTTGCTTTTAGAACGTAGATAATCTCATTGTTATTTATGTAATACTTATTTTATGTAACAATGGATTTACAATAAAAATAAAAAAATTACTAAAATTACAAGACTACCTAATCTTTCTTGTTGTTAACTCTTTTAATTATTTTTTTATAATCAACCTTGCAACAAATCAAATCAACCACAGCTTACAATATTGGTTTAAGTGATTGTGTCAATAACTATTTAGGTGAATGATTAAAACCAATACAATTTTAGTCAATGTGTATTTGGTGTGCGCCACGCAAATATAAAAACATCAAATAAGGATTAAGGGGTAAACCATGTCCCAGTTGTAAAATGTATATCATTAAAATACAGTGTAAAGATTTTAATTAATAATATTTCTGCGTTAGGTCTACATTTGGTTTTTTTTTTTACTTTATAATTAAATATAGTTATAATAGTTTCAAACAACGATTTCGGTATAATATTTTTGATATTTATTTGTCTTGCCATTGTATATGGTTTTAAATACTATTCGAGCGTAGCGGGCAATATTTTTGTATTCCATTATTCTGTTTAACTATAATGGAGTTAGCTTGAGAAAAATACAAAAAAAAAACGTTTAACATGACGTCAATACGGTTGTTGTCGCAGCAGCTATATGGAACGCATACAACACAGCGACGCTGCACAGGTGTACATTACAGCTGAGACCTCGAATCGAATTTTTCTATTATTCGAATTATTTGAATAATCGAATAATACTATTCGTATGAAAATAATTCGACTATTCGAATAGTTATCGAATAATTCGAATAGTAATCGAATAATTCAAGTATTCGAATTTTCGAATATTTTGTCAAATTTATGTTTTTTGTGCTAAATAATAGTAATAAATAATAATAATTAGCCGTACGCGACCGCCGACCATGTGTTTGTGTGTGTGTGTTAACAAGGCGCTTCGTACAAGCAAATGCAGTACAGCCACGTGTGCGGGCCGCCTATTTGTATTCTAATGACACCGTGCGTTGCATTTAAACCGAATCGCCGCAAAAACAAAATATAGTACTTTGTTCGTACATTTTGTTTGATTCCATCCTGGTGCGGAATTGGGCAAACCAACCGTACCGCTCTCTTTTTTTAACCTAGTTTTAGTTTTTACTTCTACTACACGCATGACACCATCCCTTCCGGGGCACAATGACACTACCCTAACCATGCACCACTGGAGGGGCGACAGACTTTGGTCCTTGAGGATGACCATGGAACCCACGCCGATGTTATTGTCACCCTTAGACCATTTGGCTGATGTAGAATATCGGGGTTATGGGAGGTGGTATGGCTAATAGTGAACACCCTGTTTAAAAGTGTGCAGCTTTTATCATTATTCCTTTATTATTGTAGCTCTAAATTGGTTGTTAACAATCGCAGTTCGGACGAAAAAGCTTAATTTTGTATTATTTTTACAAGGTACATTGTTGCTATTTGTGTTTCAAAAATGCATATCAACTCAGTTGTTTTTTTTTCTTATTTCTTATTTTACATAAAGCATTGTGACATAATCGAAACATATATGCAACTACTCTTAGTAATTATTTTGTCCATTTCAAATATCTGTCAAATAAATATAACTCTTGCGTTGTTGATAAAAAAATCAATAAATACTTAGCGAAGAGTATACGAGTCGAAGAGCAAAGACGCCTAAAAATAGTATTATTATTAATAATTATAATTGTCAAATTATAATTCTATATATAATTACAAGTACACATATGGTTATAACTATATCCATAATATGTATTTATACCGAAAAACTATATTAACTGCATGAGCATGTTTTTACCACCCTCAACAATATTACAATAATTTCCTTTTTATAACTTAACAAATTATAAACTAAATTATAAATTATTTAAGGTATTTATTTTTGAATTTTAGTTTACATACTGCAGTTATACAAACATTAGACTAAATCTGGTAACTAAGATAAGCATATCTAGGTACCAGTATTTATACTTAATTTAATTAAACTGTATTTTTACTATATTAAGTTATATAAATAGAATATTAGAAGTATTTTTAAAAATGTCGTAAAATTGATAATAGAGCAGGTGCTATAAATATTTATTTTAACTTGACACTTGGAATATTTAACTAATCTACTTTTCGACTAGTCTCGGCGGGCTGTTCGACACCCTGGTTGGAAACTTCAACGGATGCTTGATGGATTTTGCCAATAGTTGCTTTACCACTTTCGAGTTGTTTTTTCAATAAAGTCTATAAAAAAAAAACCTTTAAGTGCTATTTAAGCCGTACCACAGCGATCTTGCCTAATCTTGATTGATAACTACATAAAATAAATTATTATATGTGCGAAATACAAATTACTGTGTTATATTTTAATTGGTTTTAATGTGCTAAGTACGGCCATGTCATATATGGCTAAAAATGCCAAGTACGAACTAACGTTTGAAACACCCCTCGTGGATTTTGGTGAAAATGTTCACTGCCTGTCTGGTACGATGAAAAGAATGTTTTCAGAGTTTTTAGATATTTTGGCCATTGTCGTAAAAAGTATTTTAAGTTTTTTTCTAGACACCTATATTTTTATCATTCTTTTATAGGATCTTCAGCCAACCAAAAATATGATTGAAAATTAGTTTCTTATGTGAAATAATCTCAGCTTTATAAAAAATATTTTAAGATAACCCCTTCTTTTTAGATAAAAAATTCAATTTTAATGACTTTCTGTAACAAAAAAAAAAAATCCCTTTATTTTATTAAGATTATTTTACATAAGAAAATGATTTTTGATCATTTTTTTGGATGGCTGAAGATACTATAAAAGAATGATGAAAAAATGTTTTTTACATTGCAAGTTCTATCGACAATGATATTATTTATGCTCTATTTTTTTGTACAGTAGTTGTAATAATTTTTTTCCAGACAGAACCTTTTCGAGTGGGTCCTTAATCGTATTGACATGTTCCGTGGCGATAAAGGCATACAAAATATTAATGTACGCCCTTTAATAATAACTATGTTGATAGGTAAATATTGAATACAATTAATAGAAAGTGTATCGATAAAAATTGAGTTAATAATAATAATCATATACCTATATATATATAACTTTTAATACCTCGATGAAGCCTTAATTTTACTACATTTTTTACTTTCAACATTGTCTCGCTAGACTTCTGCGAAAAATAGACGGATTTTATTTAAACAACTATTATTCTATGGTGGACTGGATAATTAAAGACTCGATGGAAGAGAATTAATAATAAAACACATTCAAGAAAATACTGTCTACTTATTGGCATCGAAGGATTTGACGATAATGTCCAACGCTTTAAACTACTAAATGTTTTGGTCTCAATTTTTAAATTATTGATGTATGCTGCTATCTTAATTTTTATTTTTTAAGTACATGAAAGACCTTTTTTTAAAAATATTTTACCAAACAACTAAGAATAATAGAAAAAGTACAAAAAGGAATCGTAGCCATTACCCTTAAAATTCTAGCAAAATGTCTTTATTTTTATTCTATTTGGTTATAGACAGTACCTTTTCGGATTTTAACTTGTTCTTCAATATTACTAGGTGCTGTAGAGTGAATCGGGTTATGTGATTTTTCAATTCGGCGTCTTCAACTGTTTTAGATAAGTCTTTGTAAGTTTGGACGTATCCTTCCACAAGACCAATAATCTTTTGATTAACATTTCGAGGCTCCACTTCTTCTGATATACTTTGAGTGTTTGTGCCGGTGGATGTGCCAGCTAAACTACTTTCCTCGTTTATTTTTTCGGCCACTTCAGGAGACTCGGTCTTGCCCGATACCTAAAATATGAACTACTGTAGTATTTTAATATTTTTATTATATTGAGTATGAAAAATATACTATTTGATATAATTGACGCAATTGGCCAAGTGCAGCTTTTAAAGATCCGGCAACGTCACTTAATGTACTTTTGGCTTTATCTACAAACTCGGGACTAGTGAGTTCTTGTTTAATCTCTTTAAATACTTGTGCGACTGTAGGATTCAAATCGGTTTCGAGAACCCCTGTTTCGTTGATTTCATCACTACACTGTATACAAATAAATTGTCTTTAAAACATATTAATATATATTGTATATCAATATAAACAGCATTATATCATTAATCAAAGCCAGCCAGAACTATGAAATAATAGTCCTTTTTAAATAACAATCTTGATAGGAAAATAGCATATATTTCTATATTTATGAAAAGCCTTCTTTTTTAAATGGGTTGCGTGCTACCAGCTCCTTCATCACTTACCCGGTCGCTTATAACAGGCAAGTCTGACTCTCTTTTTTCATCCACTTCACCACACTAAAACAATTGTGTTTAAATAATAAGTCAGATAATATGTATGTTTATTTAAATCTATTAAAGATGAAACAAGTCGGGACATACTCACCTTAATGACGGTAATTGTTAATAACACGGGTAAAATAATTTTAACTGAGAGCATTTTCATTTTTTCTTTTTTTTTTAATGCATAAGGAAAGATATTTAGCAGAATATTTTTAACTGGTTTGGAGGCTACAAGAACAATGGTAGTATTGCTTGTTTTGAACACAACACATATTTTCTACTAGTGGCAACTGAAAAAAAAACACATTTGTAAACATTAATATTTTCGGTTACCTTATGTAAACATGTTGTTATTGCAACCGTAGCGGAAAACATTTAGGCACTTTCTACACTAAAAAGAAAAATATCTTTGAACAATAACCTATTATATCGACTTTTTTCAAGTCATTATTTAAATATTAAAAAATATGCTACAACTAATTGGCAATGGTTAATTACATTATTATAATATATTGATTGCTATAATGTTTACTACATTATGTGATGCAGAAACATTCTTCGTTTCTTCCTTTTATATTATTTTACCTTCGATTGTTCCAATAAATACCTATGTCGTACTTACGTCGGCCCCTGTTTGACCTCGTTATTTTTTGAAAAGACAGACGACCTATATGACTAGCGACTACAAGAGTCGAACGAACACATTCTCCATTAGAGCATACCATTGCCCAACAAACGTTTAAATATCTATTGAAATTTGAAATATTATATTTTAATTTGTTAACATTAGTATAAAGATTTGTATTTTTTTTAAGTCATAAGTAGTCCGATGCCGCTACCCCAATCTTGGCCGTATGTACATAAGACCTTATCAAAAACGTTTACACTAGCTATCAAACATACAAAAAACAGTAGTTAAATATAAATAAGCTAACAGATTAATATATTTAGTATCGACGCTGGAGCTTCTTTGTCTGGTGGCCCTGAAAAGAGCCGGTATGGGATTAGGTTGAGTTGGGTTGAACTGAGTTGAATTGCATGTAGCCAGGCCAGGGATTGTTAGAAACGAACATTTGGTCATGAAACATAACCGGTTGGTTTAGAGTGTCATTCTTGAGGTTGGGTTTTTAAGGAATCTTTTTCTAAAGCGAGAGCCAGCTCTAATATCTGGGACCGCTTAGCACAGACTCAATTAGAAGCCCGTGAGCTCCCCTCCAAAGATTAGGTAATATAATTCCTATTCAATGTTAACAGCAGAATATTGGGAAAATACATAGCTCTAAGTTTTATAAAATCATATAAAAAATAAGTATCAGTATATGAGTATTATATTTTTTATTTTACTCGTGACTATACAGAGTTGTGTAAACAGTTGTATGTAGCGTGCAATAAGCAATGTCAATGTAAACCCGAATAAACTAGAACTTTCATAAAAGTTTCAACGCTCATACCATAAGAACGATAATATTTTTAAAAAAACACATGTGTTCACAAAAATACATCTATTATAATATTTTAGCTAAAGAACATTTTATACAAACATGGAACTATTTCGACTGTATTTAAAAAAGTTATAGCGCACCGTAATTCTGTTAAAGAATGAGTATATTTTTTTAGGTATATCTCTCATAAGGGGATTGGTTAAACTTTGACCCAATTCAGTATCTCACAGGTACGATTGCTGACCTTTAGAGTTGCTACATTAAAAAATCAGTCAGCGGTTTAGAAGTTATCGTGTGTCTAGACACAAAAATATTAAAATAGTATTAACATTTTAATTTTTAATGAATAAATTAACCCAATTCGCTAACTTCTTATGCTCAGCTTGGTTTATACTTTGTCACTGCCTACTATATAATAGCTACTGTATTAACCAGCACACACTAAGTCGACGTTTAATGTGCTGTTTTTTTTTTAAAACTATGATTGACTAGGGTGTACTTGGAAGTATATTTTTGTATTTTATTTTTCTGTTTAACTGTAATGGAGTTGGCTTGATAAAAAATACAAAAAACGTTTAACATGACGTCTATACGGTTGTTGTCGCAGCAGCTATATGGAACGCATAAAACACAGCGACGTTGCACAGGTGTAACGAAGCATTTTAATAATGCTGTTTAGTTAACGTAGCGAAGGGAGAGAGCGGGAGGGGTTGGACACTCCAAAATTGATCGAAATATGTATTAATATAGTGTCGGTGAGTTTAGGGCGTTTTTCATTTTTTTTTTTTTTCAATCGCCATTCGCGACCCGCCTAATGGAGGATAATGTCATTCGTTACGCCGTACAACAATATATTATGCAATCGTTTCGCATTGAACGTTTACCGGCGGCGATGAATATGTATAGCCGGTATAGAGGTGGGTATAAACGCCGAGTGTTGATGTTGTTTTTTTTTTGTGACATTTATTATTTATGTATATTGTACTTTTTTTTTTTTGCGTCCCTATACTAACACCGGAACAGCGCCGCTGAAAGCAGCACCCTTTAAATCATCGCCTCCGTCATCGTATCGGTGTCGGCCCTGACGTGGTCGAAACCATAAAACGCACGTTCGCCAAATACTCGGTCGCCTCGCCGCACCCCCACACCCCCCAACCGCCCTTTATAATATTGTTTTATCACATTAAAACGGTCCGCGGCGTTGATTTTATGCGACAAACCGGCCGCGCTAAATAATAATAATAATTAGCCGTACGCGACCGCCGACCGTGTGTGTTAACAAGGCGCCTGGTATAGGCAATTGCGGTACAGCCACGTGTGCGGGCTGCCTATTTGTATTCTAATGAGACCGCGCGGCGCGCGTTGCATTTTAACCGAATCGCCGCCTACGCCCACGTCATTACTGGCGGCACGTACTGGCGATTAGATTTACAGAACAAAAAAAAAATAACGTTCGACCGGTACGGTTAATCGCTTAAGTGCTTAACCGTGAAAAAAAAAACACACACACACACTCACACATAGCACTTAAGCCGAAACGCGTTCAACCGCACATGTAAATGCACACTGCAATGCCATCGACTACTTAGGAAATCTAGTATTATAACCCTTTTCAAAGAACAAACATTGAGTGAATTCATAGTGATGTGATTATTCCGTTAACCCTTATTTACATCTAATTGAATAATACCATTTTAATGACTTCGAAGTCATTAAATATAATAATTTAGTCGAGTATGAAAAATAATGTCTTATATTTCTATTAAAACCGTACTTATGTCGTCATTTTTACAAACTCGGTAGTTTTAAAACCGTCTCGCTATAAAAGTATAATAATTTTTCTTTTAATAATCCGTCAACTCATTTTTCTCTATTAATTATTTCAACTGGGACATACGGTCCGAATTTTTTGGTTCTATATTAGTTTATATCAACATAAAAGATTTTAATAACGACAGAAACAGTGCCTATTCTAAGAAATAATTATTAAAGGAGGAAGACATTAAATGATGTATTTCATAATAATAAATTGGCGCTCAGAAGCCAAACTGATTAACTCCATAAAATGACATTTTTCAGGACAGGCAGTTAAAGTTATTTGAAACAATGTATGTAAGTACAATTGCCAATGAACGTAGTGCACTCTAGTGGCGAAAAATTCAACTATGGAGTTATTTATCTTGGCCACTGAAAATTATACACTTTTGTAATCCAACCATGCTATTAATAGCAATTTGAAAAAAGTGGATTTAATCGGCTTGGCACCTGAGCGCCTCGTATATATCACTCGATTCAGTTTCTCGATACATTTCAAATAATAAAATATAGTGAAAGGTAGCTGATGAACATAGCTAAAGCAACACTCGACCGACATTATTGTTACCAGGTCGACTGCTGACTTTTTGAGTGTTTTTTTTTTTTTTGTTGTTACTTTATCTTTACCAAAACTTATAACAATCAATCTATTATTACTCGGTTGGAACTGACCTCGTCTCGCATCACTCGAGACTTGGCCGGGTTAAGGACCTAACTCCTGTAATCCTGTGCGACAAATCCTTGGCCGTTACGGGGTAACGCTTTACCTGGTCGCGCACACTTCGGCGACATTACCTACTAAACATTGGCCGACAAGAGCACCGATTTATCAACACTGTCGCCGTCACTTCATTTTCGTCTCGTTCATGCTAGACGCAAATCGAAAACACAGTAATTACCGTTATTGGCCTGTCGAGTCGCTGGGATTGATTGGCTTCACAAACTACTTTGCAAATTCTTAAAGTGTTTTCGCAACGATTTATCTGCGCCGGGAGACTAAGCCGGTGAGATTTAGCGTGCCAGCAGATTTTGTCTCTGTAACAATAATCCCCTAAAATATATCCATCGTCTAAGTACCCCACATAAGATGCGGCACACTAGCGGCACAATAACGTCTACTGCATTATGCTCAGAATGTGACAATTACTTACTTCCACCTTATACGCAGCTACGAACCGCGTGCTAAGATCAATAACCACTGCTAATTCATTACATGGCAAAGAATAGAAGTCTTATAGAAGTAGTCTCTCGAGTGGTGCAACCTATTTAATTGCTATACTTTACGCACGATGTCGACCGTGCTATGTGATCATCGCCGGACAAACTAATTGGTTTTTCGATCTAACTTTAATTAGAAAAGACCAGATTGGAAATTAAGTTGAAATAGCCAAGCACAACGACAATTACAAATGGTAAATCAAACTGACTTTACATACAAATTATTAATGTAATTGTTTCGAATAATAGATGAATATTATGTATATCTTAATAAATAAATTATATTTTAAATATTAGTATTGAAATACGACGTTAACGTTAATATTTAACCTTCTTTTTGTGATACACTCCAAAAAAACTTAAAACACAAAAATTGTAAAAAAAAATATGTGTAAATAAAAAATCGACTCTTCGATGATTTTATATTTTATTAAAAATTGAGTTAATATTTATTTGTAAATTTCACTGATGTATTAATATTCTTCATTAATTTTTAACTGTTAACTCACTTAAAATACTTACAAAAACAATTAATTTGCCCAAATCTGTTTAATTATTTCGGCTCAATCAATGAAATCTCACAATGAAAAAAAAAAACGCATTTAATCTGACTAAAAGTGTTGTCAGGTCTGAGAAATGAACTTTTAATTATTTGAAAATACAACCGAGTACATTAAATTTCAGATTAATTTTCCAAAGGTATTAAATGGATTATTTAAAACGTGAATAACAAACACTCCAATAGTTTATT